AAAAACAAAGTGATTCAAAGACCTTAAATGTAAAATTTACTGTTAATTCCTCAATCCCAATTTAGTTACAATATTAGGTATTTATAATATCTTCATAATTTCGATTAAATCTCGAAAAATCGCATGAGTATTGTGAAATGTCAAACAAAAATTTATTCTGACAATCCCTATTAAAGCAATACTTAATAAAATGTTAATAAGAATCTTACTTAATAGCAGGATCTCTATATGGATAAATACATTTCTTTGTATAGATTTGGTTTAAATTATTTACTATGAAATTTGGTTAAGTTTTCTAATATTTATATTTATATTTTATACCTAAATTTCCTAATCTAAACGATTAATGCATGCTTAACATAATGGAGGACAATATGAACATTTTGTACTTTATTCTGTTATGACTGATTTTTTGTAATAGTTTAATGGGCATACCTTACAATAAGTTTAGACTTGAGAAACACACTATAGACATTCTGGATCACAAACCTCATCAATTTTTGGCTATGGATTCAAAAATTAACTATAAACATTTAATTTAAGTTGAGGTACAAATTAAAGTACAAAACTTTGAATCTAGTTGACCTAATTTTGAATTAATTAAGTTTCAACATCAAATTCATCATTTTCGTAGCAATTATTATTTTCAATAATGTAATTTTTTTGGCACAATACACATTTGATTTATTTCTCAATATTAATTGTACAGTATTAACATTTTGATATTAGATTCTCACAATTTGAAATTTGAGGGGCAATAGAAAAATCATCATTTTTAGATAAAGTACACTGTTCCTTACTTTATAAGTTAATAAAAGATCTTAAACAATTTTTTATTTCAGGTTTCTAAAGTAAACATAATCCTAATGTAAAGTCAAAGATATAATCTTATTCACAAAGTGCGCAACCTTATTATACATTTGATAACCATATTAATACTAATTCAGATAAGTTCAACAATGAACATAAATCTAAATTCAGAGCAGAGTATTCAAAACAATAAATACAATTTTTGATTTCGCATAATTTGCATTAATTTTTAAATGAATGATATAATGGTGGTAAGCAGATAAGTTAATCATTTGAATAATTTTTTTCTATATAGATACAATTACCATCTATTAATGTAAAACCTTCGTCACATTTTACACATTTAAAGGATTCAATATTTATTTAACAAATTTAACAGGATTCTATAAAACATTCGTAACAAATTAATTAATCGCTTTAATCAATATCAATTTACTAACAAAAATGTCTAAAATACATTTCTGCTAATAAATATTCTTTAAAGATGCCATCTGAATTTAATAAATTGTTATTATAAGGGAATGAGTGGGTTTAATGAATGGGATTTAATTATACTCCATCAAAATAAAACTGTACATTATCAACTAATTAAAATGCTTCCTCTAAAATAGTATTTGGTTTTAAAATAAATGCATTTTAACAGATAGGATTCTGATACCAGTTCTATGGATTACTTAAGCATTCATAACATGTAATCTAATCTTCCTTAATTATTGAAGGACTAAATATTTCATGATAATTTACCATTAATAACAATCTCCATCAAATTCAAAATATCCATATAAACAATTTTTACTTTTTTGTAAGATTTCCTCCTTAATCAATTGTAGATTGGATTGTTTATAATCTTAGCATTAATTTTCATTTTCAATTGTATTATATGGACATATACAGACTTTATGTTATGGAAGATAAATTCTTTTTGATTCTTATGGGCAAGACAAACAATCCTGATTTGTTGGACCATCACAATCTTTGCAGCTTAGATGGCAGCTTAATTAGATTTGGTCTTTAAAACAATTATAAAATTCTAAATTTCTGACTTAAACAATTAAATAATTAGGAGATATATCTAACAAATTTCCATATTTTATTTAAAACTGACAATTATGAAATTAATAAACATCATACTAAACATTATATTTATTAATTTCCTATTAATTATAGAATGTAATTTCAACTTTTAATTTCGACTTTAATAACTCTACTTTTAAATAATGCCAAAGTGATATTTGGTTTTAAATTAGCCATTTATTCTTCAATAAAAAAGGATCATCTATAAAATCAATTGAAGAATCAGGAAAAGTATAATTATATGTAGTAATTTCTATCTCATTATTTAATGTAGCAAAATGATAAAATAATTAAAATGGAGACAAGTTTTGATTCTGTAATTTTGGATTTTATAAATTGGCTGAAACCTTCATTAATTAATAACTAAATTTTTCAAATGAATTCTTATTTTCTTTTATTTTAATCCATCCTATGAGAATGAAGGAATCGCAATTTTAGTTTTCTGAAATAAATTAGTGTTATTATTAATTTTTAAAGTCTTAGTCGTTTATTTTATATTTTTGATTTTGATTACAAAGGCAAGACTTGAAATTTTATTCAAATGTCTCTTTAAGATAATGAATGAAATTAAAATCAAGGTCTAGTCTTTGAATGGATACTTCTTATAACCATATAGGACCTGGAAAATAAGAAAACCCCTCATTTTAGTATACTTCAAGTATTTGGAAATTACGTACTTATAAATTACCTCCAAAAGTTAATATTAAATTTAAATCTTTTAATATTTATTTAATTTCTTTGGTGATTTGTAATAATACTTCCTATTTCTTTGTTACTATCAAATGGAACTTATCTAATTTTGGCCATACTATTACTTGGAAGAAATACCAAATATTTTCATATTCAAATGTATCAATGACTAAATCAAACCTTATTTATTAGTTCTAATTATTGATAAATTAAATTGTTTTTGTTATTTTCTTTGACTCATAGTCAAGACAATCAAAATATACTATATTTAAATTTTATTATTCTAAATCCATAGCATTATGTAAATGAAAGCAATGACTATCAAAAATTCCTTAGTATCCCACTTAAGATATTGCACTAAGAGGGTTGAATTTTGACCATAACCCATATGTCAGACAACTGTTAGTAACATAACCATTATCTGTTAATTATATAATTTTTCTTTCGAATTGATTATTAGGATTCATTTCAGTGGTTAAAAATTTGCTCACTACAACAACGATTTAGGCCAGATAACATATCACTATCATCAAATTAAAATAATATTAAAATACTAATCAAAAATATTGCACGTCTTTAATACGCCTATTAAATTATCAAATTTATTCATTATTATCTTAAAATTATGTTATTTAAAATAAATATTTGTATAATCTGAAAAAATTGTTCAATAAATTCCTCTATCACTCTGCAACAAATTGTCAAATTAATAAAGGATAATTTTAATTCGCAACTTTTGATAAAACTATGTGTTTTTTATAGATAGATGAGAAAAAAAAACTATTTATTCTGATAAATCTTTGAGCCAAACTCTAAGAATAATAATCTGCTTAGATATCCTTTTTAATTGATTTGCGAGAAATATTTAAAAATCTTATTCTATATAAGAGTTATTTACCAAGAAATTAAAATTAATTAAAATTATTATAATTCAATAATTAATAAAATGTAAATTTCAATAAAAATACAAAAATATTTAATAGTGAATAATTTTAGTATCACTTCTTCAGATAGACTACTTAAAAAAATAAGAATGGGCTCAAAATGTTTATTCAGATAATTGTAGTTTAAAAATTATTTTAAACTCTTCCCATCGATAAGTCTGTTAACTAAAGAAACATCTAAAAAAATAAAATATTAAGGAAACTTTAATTATCGTTTGTAATTATGCATTCAATTCTTGAATATATTGTCTTTGATTTGAGATTTTTTGATATAATGCTTAGCAAGAAATATTAATTACTAACAAATGAAAACCTATTTTAATATCAATAGAATATTCAATTACTTAAATAAAGCACTCAAAAAATGATTTGAATGTTTTTTCTTTATTATGAAATGTACGGCCATTTCTAATAATCTACGTGCTTTATTTAAAATTTTTATAGCAGTATAATGCCAATAATTGTTTTTTCTTCTATTCTAAATAGTCATTTTGTATAGCTAGGTTTGTTAATTATTAATAATATTCAGATTATAAATTACAAAAAGTTAGTTATCTAAAGCCAAAATTATATATAAAATATTGTAGTTTCCTTATATAAGAATTATAATAAGGATTAGTACAAAAAGCAGAAACCTTTTTTTAAATCAACATTAAGTTTTAGTTTTATCATTTATATATAATGTTCAATTATCACTCAGAATCTGATTTTTACCAAATTCTTTATTAATATATTTTAGATTTTTTCAAATATTTATTTTTTTAATTTAACTTAATTCTTTTAAGTATTATTTAGATCGATATTTTATAATTGATAATAAAATTTTGGTTTGTAATTCAAAATAAACCAAATAGAGCTAAACTATTAAGATACGTTTTATAATTTTTGATATCTTCATTATTATTATGATTATAAAATTATTTCATACCAAACTTGTAGAAAAATACGATCTAAAATTTTTAACATTATCATTACTTAATTAATGCCATGTTGGGCATAGTATTGAGTAAAATGCTCTCTAAATTTTTTATAATTTTAAATCAAGCTATACAATAAAAGCTAATATTTTAACAATATAATAAGTATGATTAGTATAAAGAAATAAAAAATTTATAAAAGCAATTTATTATAATCTAAAGTATACTTTTAACTTTTTATGTTAACAATGTTAAAATTTCTACTTAAAACCTTCTAAATATCATTAATAAAAATCGATTATAAATGAAAAGAAGTTTAATTAAAAGTAAATATGTTTTCTTTTTCAATATTGTTATCATACTTAATTATTTTTATCACCTATTCGAATGCAAAATATTTATCTTCTTAATTTAATATTAATTTCAATCCCACATTTAATTTCACTTCTCAGAATATTGCATCTGATATCAATAATAAATGAATATTGTTCAATTTACACTGTTGCTGATCTTAGATATGCAGATTTCTAAATTGTTGAAATTAGTGATTCAACTTAGGATAGGTGAGGCTCACAACCTAAAAACTTGTTTATTAGACATTATGGATTTTAAAATAAAGTGACTAAGAAGTTAACAAATGTTCCCCCTAATATTTTAATTGTATTATAGGTTGGTGTTTTGAAATTAGGCTCTTGTGATATGAAAGGATTTGTGACCTATTGAAATGATGTGTAAATACAAAATTTAATTTTGAATTACGATGATTGAACAATGATATGTAGAAGCCATTTTTGGTAAGATTTACTTAAGCCTCTTTTACTAAAGTCTTAAATAACAGGAACTGATTTAACTATTAAGTTAAAATACAATTTAAACTCTAATTCTTGGTCCAAAGGCTGTCTATCATGAATAATTATATAGAAAAATTATTAATAAGTCATTTGATTCGTATAAGAGTATCATTTCAATTATTATAATTCATCATTTTGATAATTAAACTCACGGTTATTTTGATTCTAAAATATTGTCTTAATAAATTTATATACTTTCTATTTGATTTTTAAAGTTAATTTTCAATTATAATTAGCATTTAAGGACTTTATTTTAGATTTTTCATATTTTCATATTTTCATGTTAGTCTTTAATGGTTTGGCTTCTTAACCTCATACATATTTAATTGCTTGAAAACTTTTAGAGAATCCTTACTAAATTCAAACAACAAAATATTTTATATAAAAATTTTATGATAACTTAGGAAATGTTTTAATATGATATTTTTATTTTAATCTAGGAAAATTAACAGTTTGCTATAAGTTATAAATTGATGAATACATTCATAGAAATGATCAAATACTAATTGAATTAAGATTAATAATATAGTAACTTTAAATAATCAAAAATGTTATAATTAATTATCAGTGATTAGGCAACTTTCATATTTCAAGCAGAGTTCAGTATGTAATAGGTTTTTTTTAATTTATTGTAAAAACTAGATTTTAAAACAAATAATCAATTGATATACTATGAGGATAAAATTCTGAACCAATGCAGCAGAATCTAAATAATTTAGAATTCTTAGAAACATCAAATTCAAGAGATCTGGAATATACTAGATTCGCTTGTTGGCTTCAATAACAAAAAATTATCAACATCTAACATTAATGTTGTACATCAAATTTAACCATTTTTTATGAAAGTTATCAAAATTAATTTTATCGAAAAATTACATTATTTCCTTTTGATGGTTTTATTTAAATTCCAAAATATTTTTGATATAAATAAAATAAATTACATAGAGGAAATTACTCTAACACTTTTCACTAGCTGATTTATTGATTTTATAAAAATTTAAATAAAGGAAGTAATTCCTCATTTCATTAGTCTTTAGCCTTGAGATTAAAAAATTATGCTTTTGCAAAGGATACATGAAAATTAAATTTATTTTGTATAATTAGGTTGATTTAATAAACTTGTAGCTTGTAGCTTTTTAACATATTAAGCCAATCATTTCAAATATTAAATTAAGTGAGTTATATTCTGGACCCTTTTTTGCAAGTCTTTTTAAAGATAACATCTATGTTATGAGATAAATTTATTATTTCGTTCTTAATTATCTATAATTGGAAGATTCTAACTTTGTAAACATATAAATATAATAGAACAAGGTCTATTTCAAATATTAAGTAGTTTTGAGGTAGTTAAAAAAGACAATCGAGGATGCAAAACCATGGAGGTTGAATCTGAAGGTAACAAGACAATATACATTCTCTGGTGCCAGAATATTTATAATAACTGTCCTATTTTATTTCATTTTTGAAGCTTAACATAGTATTAAAAACTGGCTTAGTTGCATTTATATATATTTAAGTCAAAATATCAAATTTATTTCATTGCTTAAATTAATTAATAATATAATCATTCTCTAATTAAATTCAATTTGAACTAAGATTTTTTAGAACTAAACATTTAAATATATTTGTTTCTCATTCATAATTGTAAGAGACTGATCACCATCAGAATATTTTATATCGACAATTACTGGTCCTTCAAATTATTAAACCATTCTTGTTGTGCTATGACAGTATCATTAATGTCATAAAATCATTCACAATTACTCAAATTATAATATTTTAAATTAAACAATAATCAAAATAAATTTTTGCTGACTAAATATTGAACCATCATTAAGACATTTCTTAAGAATTTTTCCTTCAAAGCTTGTCTTGCAATTTTAGTGACCTTCATGTTCAAACTATTTTTGGCTTATTGAAAAAGTAATTCACTATGTCATTGATTAAATTAGAGAGCTAAAATTCTACAATAAAAATATTCGGACAAAATAGTAAATAATTAGGGAATATTTTGTGATTCTTCCTCACAATTTTTTTATTTTGGTTCTATATTATATAAGTTAGATCCTTATTAGGTGTATAATTATATTTCTTTCAACGATTCATAAATAAAATGAAAATTTGATGTAATATCGTTGTTTTGAGTCATCCTGCTTAAAATGGTTACCAAATAATTTTATCAACATCATTTTTAGATTGATTTTATATTCCTTTAAATATACAGTTTCTAATTCCCATTAAATTTTATTGAAAAATTAAGTAATCTCAACTAAATTGCTTATGATCTAAAATATTCTATTGAATATCTAAACTTTAAAAAAATTAAATTAATTATTCCTACGCTTTAATAACAGTGTTTTTACAGTATCAATATCAATTCCTAAATTGATATTCAGAATAGAATGCTTTGTGAATATTTCAATAATCTTAGATAATTCCTTTACGTTTATTCAGAATTATTAGTTTAGACGTTTTATAGATAGTTTAATAGCAAACCTAATCAATACATTGTTAACAAATAACAGAAGGAATATAAAATATATCAAGTTTTAGATTGTTCTTGAAGTAGATCTTTTTCTCCCTAAAATAATTTCAGCAATTACGTGATCATGAAAAAATTATTAATGTTTTATCTTAATTACTCTAAAATAATTTCTATTTGAAATTAACATATTTAAATCATTTTTTAATAGAAAAAATCATATATTATAAAAATAAAATTACATCTATCGAAATAACATTTTCTATTGTATTTCTATTTATCTCCAAATGTTCCTTTAATCTGATTCTTTTAAATTGTCTATCAGTGTTCACTATTCTGTAAGAAATTCTTATATTTTGGTTATCAGAAGATAGAGGGGCCAATTCAAATAGCTTTTAACTTTAGCAGATGTAGATGATAAATTAAATATTTAACTATCCATTTAATTTTGTCGATCTTTTTTATTTAATAGCATAAGTATGATCTTTTATTACTTTCGTAGTTTCTTGGTAAAAGTTTCAATTAAGAACTTGTTTACTCATTTTTATTTCAAAATAATTTAGTGTTTAAACCATATTTTTGGTTGAGTATTTTCTTGATCGAAAAATTTTGAATTTAACCTGAACATCCTCATATATTTCTTAAGTATAACTTAACTGCCTTCAGAAATTTATTAAGATGTTTGATCATCTTATCCATCGCCCAAATAACTCCATAAATAATAAAACTGATATTAAATAAATACTGTTAATTTCCATTTTATAAATTTAAAATTACCTCCCTACTTAGCAATATCAATAGCATCACCATAAAATGTAATTTTGAATTCCTCATCTCTAAAAGAAATGAAGTAATATTTAATTTTGTACCTTTTTGTCAATTTTAATAATTTTTATCAGTTTCTCATATATTCTACTTTCAAACACTATGATATTTTTATTTTAAATGGTACTAATTTATTTTATTTCTGTATCATATTATTTAAATTTATAATGCAATATTTTTACATCTATAAAAATTGTTAATTTTAGGATAAATTTATAGCCATCCACTTAAAGTATGTAAATTAATCATTCTATTTTAACATTTAATCTAAAGTATAATTCCCTAAAATTGTTCACTTCTGCATAGACGTAAATCAATTGATAATGATAACAATAATTTCAGTTCTTAAATTTCAATCAATGTATAAGAATCATAATCCAAAATTATGCAATTCAGAATCACAGTTATTTTTTTTATTTATCTAGAGAAATTTCATTCGATATAGTATCTCGTAAACAACTAAAATCACCAATAATTGATTAAATTTAAGAAAATACAACACTTTTATAATATATAAAGAATATTAGATATTATTTAAATATTCTAACATATTTCATAATTTTTATATTATAATATTCATTATTCCTTATACTTTCTTATTTAGATTTCCTTTGAACTAGTATCCCAAGTAATCAAATACTCTCCATCATCACTTAATTTCTCATAAATATTTTGACTATTAAATTAAATAGATTAACAAACAATAAAGTCACCATTTTATTTCTTTCTAATTAAATTCACATTCTTGCCATTCTTATTCACAAGTAGGCATTTTGACTTTATGTATTATTATGGAAATAA